TAGCTTTAAGAAAAGATTTTATAATAAGATTCTCTTAGACCTTTAGAATATTATACTATTTTCTTTAGAGATAGTATTTTTACTATTTAGTATACTATAAAGTAAGATTAATATTTATATTTACTTTTATAAGTACTATAAGGTACTTTTTATAAACTAAAGTAAGTATAGTAAAGTTATTTAAAGTATAGTATTATTTAAGAACTTTAATTAAAGCCTAAAGTAATATATTCTTTTAGTTTAAAACTTTATTATTAGTTATTTTATTAAGAATCTTTATTTAAGCTAGGCTAAGTAGTACTAGGTTAACTATAAATTAAACCTAAGCCTTAATCTTTTTATATACTTATTTTTTATTAAAGAATTTATTAATATTCTTTTTTTTATATATTTTTAATTAAATAAAGTATAATAATATTTATAGTTCTAATTATAGCCTATTAAGATAATAGCTTATCTTTATTATATTTTACTAGCTAGTTATTAAATAACTAGTATTTTAGCTTATCCTTAAGGTTCTTTTAAGAATTACTATCTAAGTTAATATAGTCTTATAAATTCTTATTATAAGTATAATATTTAAGTATAATATACTACTTAGGCTAATTATACCTAGTAACTAGCTTAATTAACTTATTAAAGTTTATTAGCTTCTTAGTTTTTATTATAGTAACTTAATAGATTAAAATTAACTAAGAAATAGTTCTAAAATAAGAAATTAAGAGATATAAATACTAGATTTAATTATAATATCTAAGGGGCTTTTTATATAAAAGTAAGGCTTATAACTATAATAAACTATAGTGTCTTATTATATAAAAGAAAAGTAGTTTACTTATTAAGAAACTATATATAGACTAGAGAAGCAGTAGAAATACCTTTTTTACATAGTCTCTGCAGGTGGTATGCTATATCCTGTGGCAGCGCTGCTAGCACTAGCTACACAAAGCTATTCCAGCTTTACGACAGAGACACAAAACCTTGACGGCAAAGTTGGCAACAGTACTCCTGGCTACAGCAAAGTCAAAGGACACCCGAAGCCACAGGAGCATAATCGGCCGCGTCGCCTTTTCCTCCGTTCTCCTGGCCAGGGAAGCGACGTGGTGGTTGCCAGTCCTCCAATCGCTACGGGATGACGACTTTAGGCTTGACGCCCTTATCATGAACGGTCGCTTCGACGTCGTTGGGGGGAACATGCGGTTGGCTACAGCGGCATTAAAAGAGAGATCGGCTCCGGAGGATGACGGAAGAGAGACAGTATACTGCCAATGATCACAGGCTTAGAAGATGGTTGCGTACTGAGGCGTGCAGTAAACAATAATCTAGGGGTTCAGCCTGTTAAACATCCTTGATATATGCGCAGGTAGTGAATAATGGCGTTGCGGTGATAAATGGGGTTTTATTGTATTAAGTTAAGTGAGAGTTGTGACAACACCTGTAGGTGTACCTTATGTTGTGAAAAGTCTAACTAAGCTTTATTACTTACCTCCCTAGAACCCCTACTCTCCACTCAAACCCTAGGTTGATATAGGTTTTAGGTGAAGTAATAACAGAGAAGGCAAGAGGAAGAATACTGATATGCTATTGCTGCTTATTACCTGTGATGGATTCTCTCATGGAAACATGATGAAGTTGATCTAGACAACACAAGGTGCGACGGTCAGGTGAACTTGACTTTGGTATATTTCGGACAAGTCGCAGACTAGAAGACCATTCAGGCTGCTTACAAGAGGTTATAAGTAAGGAACAATGCAGGGCCTATCACTTGGGCTGAGTGGTGGCCTCTGGAGGAAGGCTGGCGCAATGAGGGTGCAAGGTTGCCGTATCTCTGAGAAGCTGCAGGCTTGTGGTGTTGGACATGAAGATGTAACAACCGCTGGGATTGACTGGAAATCATGGTGAGAATGAAGCGGGTGTGTCCTAAGGTGGGATGATGGATGAGTTCCATCAGAGCCCCGGGGCTTTATGCTAAGTACCAACCTACCGTATCTACACAGCTTGAATTTCAATCAATTCACATTGACCGGTACACTGGGAATCTATCTTTTCTGCTTCTCGGTCTAATCAGCACTCTTCAAATGTGGAACCTACCTTGTCTCCTCTGCCCCTACCTTCTATGGGCAGAATGTACACAACTCTAGCTACAACAACTCGGGTGTGGGACTGTTGAGGGCATATAAGCTTAATTATTTGTGTAATATGGCCAAGCGTTGCTCATCCCAACCAGACTTCTCTAAGGGAGATTTAAGCACTCTAAAAAGGGGTGTTTCGCGCACAGGATGTCACAGGATGTCACAGGATGTCCCGTCATCAATGTTGTTCTTCCTTTTGATCTTTCTACCATCGGTCAATGTAACCAGCCCTCAGCCAACAGAGAACTTGTTCTGAAGCGGCTCTGAGGCAACTGACGCCTAGTAACAGAAGCCGGTGCCTCCCATCTGCTGCTTTTCCATCAAAAAGTGTTGCAATGTCCCCGGCCTTTCATCATTATGGTGAATACCGCTGTTGGTGTGCGTTGCTAATGTAACCGACCAAGCCTTTCATTCACTAACAGGCTTGATGCGTCCTATCAGACGCTGGGGAAAACAAAGCTTCAAATAAACGCAACTTTGTGAATTGGTACTTAATCACCAGAACCAACACATATTCCTCGGTTCCTGGTGCTCACACTCTCGGGCCATCTAATACAGACAGAATAGACAATACTGGTTGACATGCTGCCTGCCACAAGATCACTCGTTATGGTTCTGAAGCAGGCTCTCGCGACTTCAACAACAAAAGTGGAGTCAACAACGCCGTTAGATCATGTCTTAAGCTTCTTTAAAACCGATTAAAGTGTCCGCCCGGCTTACCAACGCCACATATGACAAGTTCCGAGCGGTACGAAACGACCGGGGCTGACGGGATAGAAGGGAGGTGGTAGGGGCTTAGATGCCTACAGCAGAGATGATGTGGATAGAAGCTCAAGAATAACACGGATGGCTTTGAAAAGTCATGGTCGTCACCATCGATGGCGGTGAGAGGGTAAGGGAGAGAGAAAGGGGAGAAGCGGCCAAGTATGACGGAGAACTTTGACGAGGACTCCTTCGGCCGGCTGTTAGTGGTTCAAACCAGTATGATGTTCAAGATCAGGCAGAAGATGAGTGCAGACGTACCAGATGCGTATCAAGACCCAAGTACTCTCTTACCTATGTAATGAAAAGAGCAATGGATTTTATGAGTGCGAATATACTGTCACTTTTCTTCTCTGCTGTCATCCCGTCGTCCTTCGTCCGTTCGTCTCATCTTCTCACGTTCTCCAACTCCACGTATGTTGGCCCTGCGAAAGATGCTCTGTACACAAACAGGCCAAAACCCGCATCACCAAGATGTACCTACATAGTAGATAATCTTGAGTAGTAAGTAGAGCTGGTGATGTAGAGAGCGATGTATAGATAGAATTAGTTCCGACAGCTTCACCTCCTGCAGAATACATTCTAGGTACGCAGCTTGGTGAATGCAAGCAATATTATCCCTCAGCAGCATGTATAAATGCGTCTTTTCAGTAAGACGACAATCGCGCGCTCCCCTGGAGGCTTACAAGTACTTATAGCTCAGTATTAAAAGCCTGGCCACGGCTTCCCGGCGTCCGCGACACGAAATTGCCATCGGCATCAACATCAGTACCGGGGCACGTTATCGGTTCTTTTGCTGAGTCATCGCTTTCTTGTTTTATAGGCTATCTAGAGATAGTTGGCTGACAAGGTTCTCGAAACATAACCAAAAGGGTTATTTATGTTCCGGATGAAAGGGCCTAGTGTACTGGGGATGTATGGAGGTCTGTTGGTCAAGTAAGTGTTTGACTCGCTCAAGGCAGAATGAATTAATTATCAACCAAGCACCTATGAAGAATGAAGTGCAAAGAAAGTCACCAAGTTGTTTGAACAAGATGCTCAAAAGGCGTCGCAATACGTTACAGCATTGTGACTCTCAGCTTGTGACTCTCAGTCACTATCAATAACAAACAGCTGTTCCACTCGTCAACATGACTATAATAAAGCTAGGGACAATACATAAGCCCCAAGAGTACACCTAGGACTGCCCGTCATGTCTCGACGTCTGTTCCTTCATCTTGCGACCAAGTAAAAGAAAAGCCAGAATTGTCACCTAGGGTCTAAGCCCTCCCTAATCCTCTTCCTCTCCTCCAACACCTGTGTCGACATCAACCACCCATCGACAGACAGCATGTCATATTCTCTCACCTCAGCGGTTCTCACCGATTTTATGGCGCCGCTATCCGATTTAACCGAATCCCCCCTTCTCCCATGTGCGGCGGCGGCACCATAGTCTGGACACACGTCCCACGCTTTTGGCCGCTTCGTGTATGCAGACGCCTCTGCCCTTAGGGCGGCCACCTCAGCCACAGCATTGGCTATGTATATGACACGACCGATGCTAACAGTGGTCGTAGTGGTCGAGGTTCTGTCGTCTTTTTCATTGTCTTGGTCCGTTCCAGGGGCTGCTGGTGGCAGGGTGATGACACCGCGCCGCCTCAAGCATTCGTCCAGATCGGCGATAACAGCATGAAGCTCGACCAAGTGGCGGAGCAGGACACTCAGGTCGCTCTCGACATCAAGGGTATCAGATATTACGGCGTCAGCCTTGTAGAAGAGATGCTGGTTGATTAGGTAGAGGGGCTCGTCGTCAACGTCCAAGCACGCGTCACAGAGAGCAAAAAACCAAATTACAGACTGCCGCCGGCCCCAGTCGAGAAGGATAGGCCCTACGCACGATGGCAAGGCTGTTTGGAATATGGGATCAGAAGCAAAGTGCCAATAGAACACAGCTACGCCGAGGCTGCTGGCCGTTATGTTGTTGCAAGTATGCTGTTATTCCTGTTGACCTTGGTCACGAGAGACGCCGGATGACTGAGGAGGAGGACGTGATGGCAGTCTGGGCGTGGGACAGAGGCGGCACGCAGCAAGTCAAGGAGCGCGGCTCGGGTTCAGGATGCCTATCTATTACGCGCGGGCAATAGCCCTATAATTGGCACCAGCCTCGGTAGCGTCACTCAGCAACGATGCAGTAAAGAGGAGGTTTGTGTTTGATGAACGGTTGGGGTCGGTATTAAGCAGTCGGCTCCAGGGGAAGATGGCGTTGTGTATGTGGATCTGGACTGAGTAACAGAGAAGTCTGATGTCAGCATCTAGGTTCTCTGACACATTCCCAGCAGCAGCAGCAGCAGCAGCAGCAGCATAAACGGGCCGAGAGGCCATGTAGACTGAGGCGTCCTGGCACGTATAGCCAGCAACACGGTCAAACTCGCCGAGGAGCGGCGGCAGCCCCTCATCGGCGAAAACATTGGGGACTTGAGTCGAGAGCGAAAAGTTCTTACTTTCGATAGGCAGGAGCTCGTGATGGAGGTTGACAGGCTCGATCGAGGTGCCTTCAATGCGGACGAGATAGGTTGAAGAAGGGGGGGCATGGCCGGCAATGCCGCTATCGGCGGTGATGACGAGGGTCGTTTGGGAGGTTTACAACGAGAAGGGGGAAGAAGAGATGTAAGGTGAAGGGAAGCCTAGTAGGTAATAGACAATCAGACCGATGAGGAGGAAGTCGGCAGAGGGTATGAAAAGCAGCAACAGGACAGATGGTGATGATGCCTTGGTATCTTTGGCATCGGTCAGGTTGAGGAGTTGGGGCAGTTCGTGGATGTAGAAGGGCGGCGGCGGCGTCTTCAACAAGGGCGCCGGCTTATATCGATATAAGACGACACTTCTGGCGTCGGATATGATGGAGGACGGGGATAAGATGGGAGAGGAAGAGGAGGAGGAGAACAAGTGCAGTGAGATGGGGTCGGGCTTGCCGGCAAAGTCGGCATGGAAGCAGAGTTCAAAGCTCTGGCTACGGGACTCTATTTGGACGTCTTCGTCGTCATGGTATTCAGGCGGGGGCGAGAACGAGGTAGAAGACGAAGGGGGACCCCGGACAAGATGAAGACGTAAGAGACTAGCGGAGGCCGGGAAAGCGAACCGAGAAGCGGATGACGCTGAAGTGCTCAGCCAAGTGGGTAGAGACGAGCGGACGGCGACGAGTAGTCGAGGACAAGCATGACAGTTCCATCGTCTTCTGTCTGTCTGTCTGGTGATAAAAGGGTCATTGGTCACCATGCCAGGGACCGCGCATGAGGCGAGGGCGCGTTCTAGAGATTACATATTGTTGGCTTAAACACATGTTGTCATCTCCTTTTTCCGCTGTTGTCAAGGGGACAACAAGGTACAAGCGCCCGCTTAGTATAATAAAGGACAGGGGGGCAACACGGCTGATAGCGTTTCCCTTTGTTTGTTTAGTAGTAAATCAGCACCGTTATCATTACACAAGCAATTAACAAACCCTGATGCTCAACACGCACGGCCTGTCTGCGCGCCCACAGGGGGAATCACTTAGTTTGCAATCAGACAGATAGATAGACAGACAGACAGACAACAAGTCTGTTTAAAGGGGCTGCCCAGAATGAAACGAAACCAGGCCGTCGTCTTGATATGGAGCCAACGCACAACATCTTACAACCTAGATCCCCGCTTCTCTTCCTTGCAAGCTGGATGATGGATGTGCCTGTACCAGTCTAGCCAGGCCTGCCGCTCAATGGGTGTTATAGCACGCCGAGGCCCACTGCCATCGGTTGCCGCAGGCTCAACGGCATAATTAAGCAGTGCTGTCTGCGTTGTGGGAGCCGGCTTTCATGACAGAGGCATCTATCTCGACCGTTGGGCCCAAGTCCAAGAACCAGGAACCGCAGGGTTCTCATCCGTCGGCGTGTCGTCGCCTTGGATGAACCTGCACCTGGGCTGATGGCCGTCAACAGGCACCACCACCGTCTCCGTCTCTGGCAGCATGGGCTCGGCATCAGCATGAGCGGCAGCTTGTCTGGAACTAGTATTGACCCGGAAGTCTTTGGCTCCCTGTGGCGCTGTTTTGAACATGTTTCTCTCTCCTCGTCATCCAACTCCTTGCGCTACTTCTTTGAATTGGTGGATATCCAAGCCTTAAATTGGCCACCGCTGTTCCATGTGGGGATCCAGGCTTCTTCGCCAACCTCGCCCTCATCCCTCCATCCGTAGTACTCAAGAATCTTGTGCACGGGTTCGACATGGTTAACATGCTTGGCTAGCCCCTTGGGGTCGTCTGTGCGCATGAGCTTGTCGCATTGTCGTCGGACCTACCGGCAGCGGAGCCTGAGGCCGACCTTCTTGCCAAAGTTGAGGGGTTTTGGGGCCAACGGTAGTGCCATGGTCGCCTGGAGTAACTGATGCTCTGCGGCCAGTTTGTGGGTGCTGCCTATCAAAATTAAGGACGAAGTGTTGTATGGGTTAGCTGGGCTTATAATTAAAGTAGTTAAGCAACTGCTGCCTTGCTTGCTGTATAATATCTAGGGACTTGCGAGCGAGCGACCTTCTGGTCTTTTCTGTCACGAGACGCGTCCTTAGCTTCCTTGATATGAAATGCCACATCTGGAATGGAGAGTCGTTTGTGTGTCGATGTAGCGGTAGTAGATGTTCTCAGCGCTGGCTGGCGGCATGGGGACGAATGTGGAGACAAGTCAAATGGATGGCCCCCTGTTGGAGAGGCGAGGAAAAGAAATAAATGAAAAGAGGCACGAGATAGAGAGAGAGAGAGAGGGGGGGGGGGGGGGGGGGGGGGCTTGACTACTTAGATAGATATTGGGAAGAAACTGATTGTATCTAATCACACTCAACAGTGTTTCCCGTCATATTTACCTGTCTGAAGTAGACCAGACTGTGCATCAAGACAAAGGAACTCGGCGGAATACAACGCGAAGAAATTCTGATTTCAGATAAACCCTAGGCATCCTCGTGGCCGTTTCTAGTTACTTTTTGCTATTTGTTTGATATACATGCAACAGCTGGAACTATGAGGAACGCCGGCTGGATCATTCTGGGACAGAAAACAAAATCCCCGTTGCCGTCCTGGGACAGGAGCCCCCTGTGCAAACACCATACTCTTCCATCAAATCAAGGACTTGCCTGCCAGCCTGTTTCCTCCCAATAAGACCTGCAGAAGCCGTCCACGGCTCCGGCCCGGTACTTCCACGACGCCTTGGGTCCGAGCCGGGGCTATACGTAGCAGAGGCATTCACCCCGCGCCACGTCGTCAAGCAGTATGTTGGCCACGAAGATGCTGGCCTGGATGACATAGCTAGTTTCGGCATCTCCACCTTTGGAGCGGTTCTAGAGCGGTGCCCGTACCGTCTCGCCGGCTGACAGAACTACGTCGTGCACGCTCTCCTCCAGAACGGTCGCCACATAGCAGGGCCAGAAGGCATTCTCGTCACCAAGGTTTAGTAGTCCAAGGGATGTAGGCGCCATACCTGGGTGGACAGCCTTGATGTGGCGGACGCTAAGGAGGGTACTGCAGATCTTGTGAATAGAGGCGTCTGTTGGTGGCGGCGCGGGCGGACTGGACGGCCTGGAAATATGGACGGCTAGGAGGCCAGCACCTGCAACCCCGGCGAGAACCCAGGGCAGGCTTGCGAGAAGAGACAACGACGAAGATGACCATCTTTTAGGTCGGTGATGTTCCACTTTTACACACAGCGTGAAGAAGCGTGAAGAAGAAGCGTAGTTTGAGAAAAAGTGTGTACACGAGAGAGAGATGGGCTTGATAATGCTTCGCTGGCTTGTGGCTGCTCTGCTGTGCCAAGGTCCTAGAAGCTCTTGATCCATACGCAGCCAGAAAAGATGACAAGAGAAGACGAGACAAGAGAAGAAACTGAGCTAAACAACATCCAACACATAATCTCTTGATTGCAAGCACACATGGGGCGCTGGCTGGGTGACGTGTCATGAACGATAGGATGTTTCACGAACATGGCCGACCCTCACCGATAGGTCGCGATACTTGATCGCATTTGATGAGTCACATACGTTTTTGCAGCTCTCTATACACGGATGTCGTAGTACATAAGGCGTTAACTGCTGCTTGCGATTAACGGCGTCATTTTTGCGACAACTTACATGTGCGGTTACCTTTGCGTTGGTGAAAATACCCATAAGAATGTCTAGCGGTCCTCAGCTTCTCAGGTCAAAACGAGTTCCATCACCACCTTTCATCTCTTTAGCCAACGTCAGAGCAAACACACAGCATTCATCACCATGAGCAGCATCAACCACAACGGCCGCCACAAAAGCAATGACGATGAATACCAGAGATCCGGGTGTGTGTTTGTCTCTTGCGATGCTTCTGGTCCATCGTCTCGTGGTGCGGTTCCCGTTGCTGGGTCCGTGCCGTCGCGTTCCTCGTCGTCTTCGCGTGGCTACTCGCCGTCGTGTTGGCCGGGTCGCTACACCAGGCGTGGGATATCACGTCCATCTTGTGGTTATGGCAGCCCATCTCCGTCGCAGCGGCTTGGATGCCATCCTGGCGGGCGGCCCTCCTTACAGATTCCCGAGACCCGGCAGTCATACAAGTCGCCATACCAGTCAGCGACCTCCAATTGGGAACAACGTCCTTCTCACATCTGACCGACATGGAGGGGCACATCAGCTCGCTTGCGCAGATTCAGTACAGTTCAAGCGCCAACGGAGATGTGGTGGCTCACCTCGTCAACCAGGCGTTTCAGGCCTGGCGACCGACAGGCGGTGGCGGTGGCGACAACGACGGGTTCGTCGCGGTACAGCGGCCAGAGTGGGATGACTTCTAGCGGGGGATGGCGGCAGGGGCCAGAGCCATGAGTTGCCAGAGCAGAGCGTGGCGGGTCTCCGCTTACAGCAAGAAGCAGGCCGTCTTCCGGCGAGCCCGTCTCCTTTTACGTAGGATCCAGAACAATCCGGCCGCTGGCGGCCTATCGAACACGGGAACCCCAATAGCCTTACTGCTGCGGCCTGGAGGCTGGGCGGGTGCTCTCTGTTCTTGGATCGAAAGGCAATGGGACATGTTCCATTGTTGGCTTTCTGGAACCGTCTGGACAACGTGGCCACAGCGGAAGCTGCTCGCTCGGCTGGACGAGTTTGGCCGTATCATCGACGAAGATTCGGCAGAGGGAATGGAGCTAGGTATATTAGGCATGATAAGTGCTACTCAAGGGAGACAGGCGCAAAGGGACAACAGCAGCAATTGCAGCAACAGCAGCAGCAGCGACCTGTCTGCGTGAGCGGATAATGAAGCGCTATGCAAGGTCGAATCCGAGCCCCCAAGCAATGGTGGTCCTGTCGAACGGCTGTGCGGTATTGGGATGATGTTCAGGGACGCCATTGATCTTGGCGACTATGTGTGGTCCATCAAGCACTGGAGCACGAAGTGGGCGGCGCTCCAGGGAAACAACCAAGTCGCCACCATTGCCAGAACGAACCCGCAAGCACTGACTGAGGCCAAGACTGCGCTGTCAAGCTACCGGGCGTCTGGCGCCATGCTGTGCAGCCAAGCGAGGAAGATGGCGTCTTTGATGGAGGAGAAGCTGAGGGCTGTCATTGAGTGGGACCAAAGGCTCCGTGACATACGCCAAGACGTGAGTGTGCTGCGAAAGAGAACGGTGAGCGTTGGTACAGATAACGCTGAGGTAGAGAGTGTTGAACAAGAGCTTGTAGAGCTTGTAGAAAGCTACATAAAAAGAATGACCTATGTCGTTACCTAGGAAATGGTGAATGATTAGATGGACATGTTTTTCTTGTTCATAGCATCAGTAGAATTAGTAACATGACATATAATCAACAAAGAAAGACACTTGGGTCAGACCGGAAGACAAACGAGAAAGGTTGTTGCAGCTTTACTTACCTCCATCAACAATCGTGGTGTATGCCCACTAGACCAAGGATACTTGTGCAGATAAGATCGTTTGGCGCGGCATCCTTGGATCCCAAACTTTGTTGTACGCCAGGTTTCTAAGAGCAACAGAAATCGATTGCATCTTTGACTTGAACCGAAGCTTTGCTTCCTGTAGGCGTAACAGACGCCGCAGCGGCCCGCATTCGCCCCGATCTGGAATGACGGCCGGGGTGCCGAAACGGCGACGTCGGCGAGGTTACGCAGAACGGCGGCAGTGCAAGACAAGCGTGATTCCTCAGTTTATGGGGGAGGGTGATGATGATGATGATGGTTGTCGTTGTCGTTGTTGTTGTTCCTGATATTCCTTGGACAGAGGAGGGATTGAACGGCGTAGCGAGCGTTGGTTTACTCTTTGTAGATGGAGACGAGGTGGGTGCATACGCGGTCCAGGTTTCGAATTAGGTCGAGGTTCGTTCTTGCCTCACGCGACGTCTGTTGAGTGGTGACGACGGGACAGAGACACGACACACCGGGCATGTCATCCATGACTGTTGTTCTTAGTACTCGGGTGGGCGTATGACGAGATTGGCGAATAAGAGGGGAAGGCGGCGATGGGGTGGAGGAAGACGAAGGAAGAGGGGAGGAGGGCGAACGGGAGGGAGGAGACGAAGGAGGAGCAGACGAGCGACGAGACGAGCGAGGAGACGACGACTGAGAAGGGCGATAGGAGGAGGACGATGTTGACATGGACTGCGTGGACGGGCTGAGGATAGCATCGTCGTCGCCAAGCCAGGTAGAGCCAGGTCTGTCTCACGGTGTCAGGCCATCACAAACGCCTAGCCCAGGCGGCAACGTCCCAGTAGTATTCAGGACGGAGGTCTCTTGTATTGACTTTGAGAATGTATTGCATACAAGAATACATCTTGGTCTTGATGGTGTCCCACTTGGCGTCAGAAAGGGAGGCGAGGTCGACATTCATACGGGCGGCAAGAATGTGGAGGTCGGGGTCGGCATCGGCATCAAAAATATCTTGCTTGATACGACAAAGGACATCTCGGTATTGGTCAACGGATGAGGGTGTGGAAATAACTGATCGCAGGTTATGGGAACCAAGGCGGCAAAAGGAGAGGAAGGATTTCATAAGGACGCGGTCGGAAGCGCGCCATTGGAGTCGAGGGGGTGGAACTGCGTGTAGTAGTATCTCGCCAAGGGTGCGGCCGGGAAAGAAGAACGAGAGACGTTCCTGAAAGGGTCCATCATCATGTTGTTGGTTGATGTTTTTGACATGTTTTCGGTGGTGGTGCAAGACGGGAGGGAGGAGGCAAAGCCACAAAGCACAGTATGAGCAACAGTGTACTGCCACCGTACTTGCCACAGTGCCCACCCACTCACTCACTCACTCACTCACTCACTCACTCACTCACTCACTATGAATACTCACTCACTTGTTCGTCAACAAGAAGAAACTAAGGAAAAGAGGAAAAAGACAAACAACAACTGTAACGTACACCACAGCTACTCACCTTGACATTTCCCTGTAACGGTGGGACCGGCTCACGGGGCGCAAGTGCCACCGCATCATCTTGGTCATCCAAGTTTTTGTCGTCGCCTTCGCTCTCTCGGGATGTCACCATTGATGATTTGTGTCTGTCAATTAATCAACTATACAGGCAGAAATACGATCGGATCGTCCGGGGGGAGAACATGGTAGACGAAATTTGATCAAGATGCAAGAGATAGCAAGCTGAGACGAGATCTGCAGAGTCCGTGAGCCGCGGCCGAGATGAGAAGAGATGAGGAAATCCGAAAGGCCATCCATGGACGGGAGAGGCCGATATTCTATGCATCTATCCACAGCAACCGGGATACCAGAGCGTAGTCAGTTTGACTACAGTATGACGTCACACTTCGGGCCGAAGGGAGAGAACCTGTGCAGTTCGTTGCGCCCAGGAGGTGATGGAATCCCACATCACCAGCAAAAGTTTGTTGTAAATGCAGTCGTTCTTGTTTTGCGTACAATGACACAGGGCATGCTAGACAAGCCCCAGAGGCAGGCGTGGCAGGCTTTTGCGGCGGCGCTCGTTGCTGGCGTCGGCTGAGCGCAGAGGGATCTTCCTCCCTCAACCAGCATGTTTCGCCAGCAGTAATAAGTAGAGTACAGATTAGATGCGGTCCCTTAGTTGCCTCTGTTCGCCTCGCAGTGCGCGCACACTCATAGTGCGTTAATTACATACCCAGTGCTTGGCCATGCATGTCGCCAGTGATGTCGCTAGTCAAGATTTAATTGAATCCTCAGTCACATTGCCCTTAAGGGCGCACCGAGTTGGTAGGTGTGTGTCACCACTATTGGTATGTGCGGCTGGGCGGCTGAGCCTGGGTGCTGACTTATACTATGGGCGGGGGAGTTTACATCACAAAAAGTGATGCAAATTTAGTCGCAAGGTACATAGTACATAGTGCACAGTATTCGAGGTACATACCCCCACACTGCCTCAGTGCGGGGCTGCTTATGTCATTTTGTGCTCCGTAGGCAGCTGTTGCTAAAAGCAGCATGTTGCCCAGTGTGGCTTAACTGTATCCAAGACTCTGATCCCGCCCACCTAACAACCGCTGGAAGGACCGGGCGTCCACAGCGAATTTCCCACGCACAACGCGGTCGCCCGTCGCCGTCGCTGTCGCTGTCAGCGCACTGAGATTTTGCCCCACCTTCGCTCATCGTCTTTTGCCACACTTTGACATTTGTGATGCGGGGCAGAGGGGGGTGCGTGCGGTTGCGCAAGGAAGGCACGACATCATGTGACTGTCTCAGGTATGTAAGCCGCTACCCGAGAGGAAGGAACGACCAAAGGTAGATATTTACATGGAGGTCCAGATGATGTTCGCAGCGTGCAGCGAGTGCATATCATAGCTTCATTACTGTTGGCATTAGAATCGATTTATTTAATAGGCTATCGCAGTCGTTGATCACGGCCTTCATGGCGACACTTTGGATGTGGTTGTGGCGGTCGAAGAGGTCATCAATTTCAGAGAATTGATGAATTGAGTTACGCAGACAGACATACTGGCCGGTTCGCCGGTAGGGTTGGTCGTGGTCGTGGTCGTCACATCGTAGGCGACCGCAGTGTGCACATACAGGCCGTGAGCAAGACGGAGCGGCGGACCGTGTCATTAGTTGTGATAGTCAATTGATCGAATGGATGGGAGTATCTGGGAGAATTTAGGGTTGGAACAGGCTTGGACACAATCATGACCAAGTGCATGAAGCAAGGCAAATCCATCTTCATGCTGGAAACTGCCGGTTGCAAACAGCCGGAAGAATTACGAACCTATGGCATGAGATGATGCTGTGGCGGTGCTGTTATAATACACCACTTTTTGTGATGTAAAGCCCCCCCCTGTTTGGGCCTGAGGCCAATTGGAGCCTGAGGCATGGAACCCACGGCCTCCAAAGTGACTTTTCCCTCCCATCATTACGCACAGAACCTAGTTTTAGACACACCACAACTTATCCGTTTTTCACAGGGTTTTGTCCCATTCGTTTTGCTCCGATCGATTTTCTCCCCCCCCTGCCTATCTGAACCGATCAGAAAGTTGGAGTGGGGAGCTGCAGGGGGGAACTCTCTGGCAGTTCTCCACAACAGATCTAGATAGGTATGGAAGGTGGGGACGTTGTGACCCCCACCGCCATAAGCCCGATGAAAACCGGCCGGTGGAAACTGATGCTAGCCCAACTCACCACTCACGCCATGCAATGCCATGCTATCTATGTTCGCACTCTCTCGCTTGACAGCACAAGCTGTGCAACAACTTGCCAGTTGAGGACGGCACATTCAACGACATTAGCCAGATGTAAGTTTGGTGGAACACAGTGATTACCAGCTGCAACAGTCAGGTCACTGGAGATTCTAACGGGGACAAGATTTATAAAGCGGTTTTTCAGAATACTAAGCTATTCCCTCAAGGCGAGCCTTTCTTCTAGGTGTACAAAACCCAACACCATGAGAGTCAACTGGATATGGGCGTTAGCAAGCTTCCGACGACCATAAACGTTAGTCTGTGTCGCGAGGTGGCTCTATGCCTGATTCTACGCTATGGGGTCGACAAGGGGGGCATTGTTGAGAGCGAATACCACGATTTGCCAGCGGACACCCCGAAGCAGGCCATCGAAAATAATGTCCAACCGCCCTATCCCTTCGACCAAGGTGCTACGAAAGTCTTTCAACTGTTAGAAGAGAAGATACTTAACATCGAACGCGGAGACAGCCATGAATGGGCATTTGTCGACGTGAAGCTTGCAGACCAGAATAAGTCCAAGAAAAAGTACTGATCCCATCTGACATGGTTTAGCCGCATTTCTAATCATAAGTTGGCAGAAGGTTCTTTGTACTGCAACTCAGCCCGGGCCATCCACAGATCCTTCGAGTGTTTCGATACAGGTTGCTATGTTGTCAGCGCAGACTTCACTCATGGACATTCTTCTCCCGCCACTCTCATAGGTCTCGATGCGGCCCTACGTCAGAAGCAGCCACCGTCAACACCCGGTATTGTATATGACAACCGCAGTTGCCTCGACGTGCCTGCAATCGAAGAATCGGGCCGGCTTTTCAATAAAGACGGTAAGGATCTCGTCCTTGGAGATCATCTGGACTCAGGGTTCTGAGTCAAGCCACACGGTTCACTCTCGACAGTTCAAACGTCTCTGATACGCGTAGTACGGATGGCACGACCGTGGAAGCGTTGACTCTATCGGCAGATGGCAGAGCGAAGCTCAAGGGAAAGCTGCAAACTAACCCTTCCAAGATCAGATACGATGCGCTCACTCATCTTCTGGACGAGAATTTTGCATTCAGAGTCGTTGACGCGAGAGAGGGAAACAAGCATTATTACCTCGCTTTAGAAAAGAAAAGTCTGCAGGATGAGGAAAAGAATTATCGTTTTGCACCTCAAATCAACGATTACGCTGGGAAACAACCCCCCACCTTTCGTATTACCGAAGTATGGATGAACGCCAAACTTGATCAGACGCCCAAGCTCATCATCCAAAGAGGAGTCTACAAGCTCTAACTGAATGCCGAGGCTCTTGAGCGCCCCGAGAAAACTCTAACGGATGGAGTTTCAAGTTGAGGTTCAACGATAAGCAATTGAAAAGCAACCCCACATCAATAGACTCAGCTGAGCTCGACTCTAGGCTTTGGATATGATACACAATATTTTCCTAAGCGTTTAAGCTACAAGAAACCCAATAGAAATGCTAACAATGTCAACAATGTTGAATTTGAGTTCATCACGACTACAACGCTGGCTCTCGGAGCATTCAGGATGGCATCACCGCCTCTTAAACTGCCACTATGCGATTATCTCAACAACAGCCACATACCCGTTGATACGAATTCCACAATCTCAAATGCCATCGAAGCTCCGAGTGGCCCTGGGGCACCAAAAACGCTCAAGTTTCAAAGTCCCTTTGACAAAGCACTGTTACTGTCGCTTATGAACTGGAATATTTCTGATGCTGTGGCATCTGATGACACAATCGCCCAACTGAAGGCGACTGCTAGTGCACAGCTTCACCCTGATGCCCCAGTGACGTTCAAGGTCAACGACGAACTAATCACAGTAACGGAAGCCTTGATCAAACTCACATCTACCCAAGGCTTTGCGACGGTTTCTGCCGACAACGGAATGATGTTACAGCAACCCCTATATGGTAGTAAAGCAGGTCTTATATCGAACTTGGATTGTTACCTAAGAGCATTAGCAATGGTGGATGCCTACAAGATCTCCAGTCTTTCTGCGCTTGGAACTTTGGCAATCATGCTACAAAATAGAACAGCCCCGATGTCGCCAATCTTCGATCTCATTCCTCAGTTTCTTGTAGAGGCTAGTCTGGGGACGTTGAAGCCTGACTTCGCTGAAACCACTGTCAAATGCTGGTATGTGCCTCCTGGCATCACTATTGTCGAGACCGTTGGCATCGTTTGCGATCTCGCAAAAGCCGACAAATGGAGCGCAAAGTCAACGATGGCGAACATTATTGGCTTTGAAATTCAAGGTGTTGTCATGAACGTGAGGGGAATACGTTCTAGCGACGTCTCCGTCACTATCTCGGCTGTATTGGCTTTCAGCTCTGGAGGACAGGACCATTTGGGCATTGATCTGAGATGTCATCTTGTGGGAAGCCTTCCTCCGACGCTAGAATTCAACGTCCACAGCTCGACAGCCTTGGCCGATCTACTGTTTGCCGTCAATGTCAAGTGCTATCTTTCGAAGGTGGCCGTTCCCTTGACTAAGGCGAGTACTCTTGCAAGCCTTACGACTTCGTCGTTCGGTTTCATATTGACTCAGCAGTCTATGGCAGTAAACCGGTATGATCTCTCCAATATATTCGCCTCGAAGGGCCCACTAGACGAATGGAAGAAGTATATTCCATGGATCAAAGCTCCTTTGCGTCCCTCTTTTGGCATCTGGGTCGATAATCCTTTGAGAAACTCCGACCCAACTGTGTCTGCAAGCGTCAACTTTGAGATTGCTGTCCAAAAGCCTACCAACCAGCCGGGGGACTTAGTTTGTAAGAAATGCTAACAACACTGGGATTGCATAGTGCTGTGTCGGAGATCAGCAGTGATTTCCCTGTGGTCAACAAAGCCCTAGTCACTACGACAGTCCAAGCAGTGTAAGCTCATGTGGGCAACTCGAGCAACAACTGGGCAATAACAGAATGGAAATTAGATGTTACATTTGATTCCATTGAGATTGTTGCAGGTCTCATTGCAATAAAGAAGTCTCGGACGATTATCGAGAAGATTGACGGCCATATAGAATGTCGCGTCAACGCGTTTGTGGAAGTCGGCCAAAAGACCCTTAGCATTGGAGGACTTTTACCAACTGCAAGTCGATACGGAGTCCTCAAAATGCAAGACATCGACAATGTCAGCTCTTAAGGTCTCTTATCAGCCTTTTGATCACGCCTATTGTTACGAAGGAGGTTTAAGATGAGAGCTCTGATGTTTCGATATTGGAGATATCTCTCTAAAATGCGGAACTGGTAGTGTGCAGGGTCGATTCTGGCTATACTGTCACCGGCGCTGCTCTATCAACCTACATGGAAGCTTTGATCATCCGACCCTTTGGTTTGAGGAGCCTGAGCCTCGATTTCGCTTTCGGAACCGCAAAAGACCCGGACGCAACCGATAAGCAATCTATTCAGCCTTTGACATCTCGGTCACACTTGCACCACTGGGAATGAGAGCTTCTGTGAGTTTTTCAACGGGCGAAAGCACCCTTAAAGCGTCACTGAAGCCAGTCTTGTTCGGGAATCGTGTCAACGTAAGCTCGATTCTCGATACCTTTCTCATGGGTGTGCCAGTGTCCCTGCACGACATCATCAGCAATTTGGAGCTCCAAGACATGGGCCTCACCTTAGATTTTAAAGCGAACGGTACTACCACCCTACAAATTCAGGTCTCATGCATATCCCGAGATCTAACGAAGCGAGACTCTTTGGACTTTGAGGTCACGTCCAACACACGAGATGGCGTCTCGCTTCAGAACGTCGTGACGATACTTGGCCTCAAAGAATCCCACAAAGAGCCCCCTACCGGGTTTCCCCAGGACGCCTATAAGAGGAAGCAGATACAACTTCTTCTTAAGGGTACCGTCATACGGACGAATGCTCCAGACAAATCCACATTTGAGCTTTTAGAGTTCGCATTCTAACTGGATGTCGATGCCCGTGTCAATGTCTTAGGGCCAAAGGTTCAGCTGGATAAGTTACGAGTTGCTGTCAACTATCAAGCACAATGACCCGAAGCTGGTTTGGCGATAGCATTCACGTGCCGTCTAGCAGGATTGGCAGCTGAGTTATGGCTGGCCTACGAGAAGACCTCCGCTAGTGATGATCAGTTCAGTGGCGAGTTCGACTACGGCATGAGTTCTGGAACTGATTTCATACACCCCGGTAAAGCGGCGGGTATGACGCCGGGCCAGTATATCACTCGCGATGTGCCAAACTTGCCCGGCAATTGGGTCTTGGCAAAGGTCGGCGCCACCGTGATCCGGTCCAAGAGCATATCCCTCTGGGGCCTGAGCGCCGCTGAGGACACGAACGCCCGATTGTCGGTCGACGTTGAGGAGATTTACATCACCACTGCTGCTCTCGGTGTGGATTTAGACGTTCAGAAAGCCCCAGCGGACAACAACAAAAAGACCTACTCTGCCGTTGTCACTGGCATGTGTACATTGGCAGGACTTCAGTCACATCAATCGCTATAAGCTTGCGTAACCCTCAGCGTGATCTCTGGGGGAAGCAGGATCCTCAGCGGAGCTCTCATTCCAACTGACGACAATTCAGGCGGTGGGTTAGACACCATCACCACTGCTACAGACGCAACGCATGCCTTCAGCACTCTCTCAAGCGATACAAAGCCAATAGGCTTCGAGAAGGTGACAGATCCCTCTGCTGCCGCCAAGAATGGCCTTTACTTTCACGTCAACTTCACCTCGGACCATTCATCCTGTATTCTCCTGGGCCACCTTTCGGGTATTGGAGACGCCCTGTTTCTTTCCAAACCACTAAATATCGGGGAAGCAGGACCATTCCAGTCCTATGTGATGGCCATCCAGGCACAAGATCTTTATGCCGTTTGAACAGATCTCAGAGGTGTAACATCCAAATTTGTCTTGGGGAGCCTTTCAGTACACTTCAAAAGTCACGACTTGCTTGCCGAAAAGCTCAAACAAGACATGTCCCTGGCCAAATCCATGGCTCGGGACAAGATGAGTTGAGTTGTGTCATATCCGTTGCGAACGACATAGACAATTCCCTGCAAAGTGTAACCGAACAGTTGGTTATCGCTGCAGGAGGCTCTTTTCACACACGCATTGCAATTAAGAAGGATGACAAGAGGCCCTCAACAAACACTATGGACTTCACGACGGAAGCAAAGCACCAGGATCAAGCCGTTGTCACTCTTGATGCGTTAATAACTAAAGATCGCACGAAAAGATCTTTCAATATTTCGCTATTGAATCTTCTACTTCTTGGCGGTACTCTTCTGGTCGATGGAACTGGTTGGTACCTGGCGGCCTTATCGCCGGATCGACTGTCAGCTGTTGCAGTTGTGCGCGTGAGCCTGAGCTTGTCGGATCTTACAGCCACTCCTCTTACCTTCAGAACGAACTTCGTCATATCTACAGATGGAGTAACAGCTTCAGTAGAAGGAAAGAAAGACCAAGCTGCACTCGCACCGGTTTCCGCGTTTAACATTGAGATTTCTGAATTGGACATCAACGTGAGTTTTCTCAAGTCGAAGGGGAACTCCGTCACTCTCAGCGGCCTCGTCAAGATGGGAACTGGCGGAGGCGGCAATTCTGCCCTGTCAGGCACAACTCACTTCGACGATAGATTCAAGCCTCTGTGTGCATTGTGCTTTGTGGTCTAATGGAACAAAGACACCGCAGACACGGAAACAATATTCCAAGAACTGGTTAACGGACCTAATCCGGGGGCCGGCAACGCGTCATGGCCTATTGACTTTAAGAACTTCACGTTGAAGGAATGTCGCCTGACACATTGCAACGACCCCAATGGATACAAATTACGCGAAGGAGACGTTGTTCCAGAGGGATAATACGCGGGTGCTAGGCTTGATCTCTTTAAGCAGCCCTTCACCGTCGCTTTGACTATTCCCGCGAAGCGTAATGGCGTTAAGATCTTGGGCACTTATGATAAGAAGATTGATTTGGATGTTGTCAAGATTGTTGGTTATACTGATCATCGAAACAGCTGGTCCAGAACAGAGTGATTAAAATTGAGATTGAGACGACGAGCGACGACGTGGTATATGCCCCAAAGACAATTCTCTCATAAAGTAGCTAACAGTGTCACAGCGATTTTCAATCAGCGCAGGTTTTGTGCTCTTCGGTAAGCCAGGCTTCGAGCTTGCTCTGGCATACAGACCAAATGATCATGTCATCAACGGAACTGTAATCTATCAACCGGAGGACGAATTCCTCGGTATCAAACACATCAAGGTCGACGTAGCTTATAATGTGTCCAACCAAACAATCGACATCAAGAAGCTTCCAATCATTCGGGACTTCGCTAAAGCATTAGTCCTCCTGGAAGATATTATTCAAGCCGCCAACGCAGCCAAAAACGGCGCCTGTGGCCCTCTTGTCGGCATGGTGTTTAAGAATACTTTCTCTACCCGCTTTCATTTCAGCTTGAACAACTGGCGTCGGCAGCAGAATGGTGGCTTTCTCGTGGACACAGACTGGAGATTTGATGTTTTTCTTGGGAACGAAAATTTTCCAAAGTTGAAGGTATGCACGGTTCCTATCCTAAGGGTGCAGAACTGGTGGTTCGGACCTTCGCTGGTCGCGACGCTGCTTTGCAAGGGCGTCCGCACCAAGAGTCGCAATCTTGTCAATAAGGGTGTAGAACAGGCCGCCGAACAGGCCGCCGAAGAGGCCGCCGCTGCAGAGACTGCTGCAACTGGTGCAGGCTCCGCCGCGGTAGCGTCTGCTGCTACGGCGGGTGCTGCTGTCGGAGGGAGTCTTGAAGCTGTTCTCAGGGTGCTTGTTGTGGCTGCCGGGACTCTCACGGCCACAGACAAGATGATTGGCAGTGTTTCGGCACCGTCAAGTGTGCGGCAGAAGTTCAAGTTCAAGCCCGAAGACTTACCATTCGATCAGCTACAAAGAATCAAGGAAGCAGAGCAGAAGGCTAGAGATGCTATGTAGACCCTAGCCTTCCAGGACAAAATGTGGGTTTATGAGAAGCTTCATTGGGCTGGCTCACCGAATGCTACGTTCATCAGCAATGAAGAGATCGTCGTGGACTAGTCCAAGGTTCTTCCAAGTTATGGACAAGAGCCAGAGAAGTGGTACAATCACTACAGCAAATTTACTTAGCGCGTCAAGTTCTCTCTCACGGGAGGTGATGCGGCTCGCGATGCGGCCATCGAACATCTCGTTGCTGGCAAAGAACACAACTTCACTTATAAGGAGCCGGCATGGTCATTAGCTTATACTGTCTGTCCGGGTTCGTGCAAGCAGAACGTATGGCGAACGAACATATGATTCGGACTCTTGGTCCGAAGTCCAGGTGACACGCATATTATTACGGCCGCCAACCCTCATCGTCGACAGATCTTTCGCACGAGTAGAGGCACAGCTGGGAAGCTCTGTGATAAAGGCCACCATCCGCGGACGGAAGCCGAATCGAAACTATCGGCGAAGGAACTTCACCCCAAAGTTCGAAAACTACTCTGGCGCCCGTCACCGTGGTCAGTGCCTCTCTGCTCGGGCTACAAGCAGACTGGATGGGGGTGTCTCAAGCGGAATACCTCGTTATCAAACCGTCATCCACTGACATAGCCGGTAATTCGGGACATCCTGTGCCTATTCTCCCACAACGGTCCATCGTCGCCGGCCCGCGCCTCGCCGACTCTGACGCCACGAGAGACCAGACTTTCTTAGCCACACAGTCTTGTAACAGCTCCCAGCCTTTTATTTTATTTTATTTTTCTTTCTTTAAATGCATAACATAACCCTTCCTTAGTTGCGTGCCAGTGGTGCCTAGGTAGAGTGAAGGGCAAATGACCAGCGTTGAACTTGTGTCACTATGAGGAACGACAGGTGAAAGGGAGAAAAGTTCAATCGTCCCCCGAGAACCGCAGAACAGCCTGCTTGAACCATGGCCAGTACGTGTTCTCGATCCACCGTTTCAGGTATTGCAGTACGCACACAATCTGATAAACCCCAGTGACCTTGGCGCTGGAGCCAATGTGCTGGCTGGTCCATAAAGTCTGCTGCATGTCAGCTCCAAAGGCCGGGCAGGGGAGCCTCTCTTCGGGACGGACACGGGGAGGCCGGAGAAGAAAAAACGACAAGACTCACCACCTGATCACCTTGTTTTGTGCTCGCCACAAAAGACCAATCGTGCCCCTGGATAATAATCCCCGGCAGAAACTCTGGCAGCTGCATCTTGGGTTCCGCCCGGCTGACCAGCCGGTCCAAAAGACGCCACTGGGCAGCATGCCATGTTACCAGCTGGGCCTCGGCATTGTTCAGTCCTTCGCCATGGATCTTAGTCTCGATGGAGAGGGCGATTGGCCGGGCCTGGAGAGGAGGGAAGTCGGTGTGGTTTATAGAGACGCTCGCCATCACATCCTGATCGCGGATGGCTTGGATAGCAATGGAGGATAAGGCATCAGGGCGGATGCACACACAGAAGTCAACCTTCCGGCTGACAGTATCGGTGTAATTGCTCATGATGGTCGCGGATGTGCTGTGACAGCCGTGTCAGTCAACACAAGCTAGATCTAGGCAACGGTGATGAGGGAGAAGGACATACCAGGGACTAAAGACGACAATCTCGTCATTCTTCCGCCACAAGCCGGCGAATGCAAGCTCCAGAATCTGGCCATGAACGATTTGGTTCCATCCGGCTTCGTCCATCTGCTCGTCACGGCAGCTAATGCCCCGTTCCATGATGTCGAGGACGGAGGCAACGGAGGGAGTGGGGCCGAGTGCACTGCGCGCACCCTCCCCGACTTGTGGCTCTTGCTCGTAGAAGAAGCTCTCGAAGATGTCCTGCTCGTATTCCGGCGACGTTCTTTGGGCGGCTTCGACTGCGTCCTGCACACCTGAGTCAGTATGTAAAGAAACGGAGAACGGATTTCGGATTTATTAGTTACCTTCTCTGCGAGGCCGATGGTGCCGATTCCCTTGTCGTATCGGTCAATGTCCCTCCACATGCTCTTGAGCGAGGTAGGGATGTCCTCCTTTATGGTAAACTGCCGCGAGAAGGCCTTCCTAACAGCCCAGTTCTGGGCCAGCTTCTTGGGCGACACGGAAGCGCTGCGCCGTGTGGACACGGTGGCAGAAAGAGTTCCCCATTCTGGCACCAGCTTTGTCTTTTTGCTCTTGGGAGTCTGTTCATCGTCTCGGTATGAAGAGGCGACGCTGGAGGAAGCCGCGCTGGGGGTATTGGATTTGTCGTGCGACCGTTTGGTTGGCGAGGCGGACATGATGGTCGATGCCGGCGGGGTGAGGTGGCACCGACGTTTCGGTGAGGGCTGCTCAGCGTCGAAGCCTGGAGCTCGGCTTTTGCTGCGTTTTCTGCCGAACGAGGCGCGACAAGATGGTGGATCCGGGCGAGACGAGAGAGTATCGAGCCAGGCCAGAACGTTCTGTCGCAGGTGGCAGGGTGAGGTCATCTGGCGTGCGTGGGTTTTGGGGTCGCGCTCGTGGCGTCGGTTTAATCGTGGGTTTAATCTTGAGTAGGATTTGGATTCCTTTAGTTGTAGTGGTAAGGGGGCTCGGTTCGGGTTCTTGTTGAGGCGGCGGCACAATGACGGTTTCGTTATACATCGTTGTTGTCGCGATGAGTGATTGATGTTGAGATGTTGAAGATGGAGTTGATGTTGGGGGTCCGTGCAGTTGCGCGGGGCAACGTGGCTTGATGGCTGTGGCAGGTGGCTGATATGCTCATATCAGATATGCAGGGGTGAGGGGTGCTGACATTGAGCCGTGGCGCATGCTGACTGAGCCATGAACTTGCCCAGACCGGGTGTCTGTGTCAGGTGACATGTCAGGTGACCGCACTGATGCTGTCGATGTACGGATACAGCTCCGCTCTTTAATAATCATTGCTAAGTAAGCGAGCGATCTATCTTGGATGGGTTGGGTGCGGTCGCGTACACATTTGATTGTTTAAAAACCCGACATAGAACCTGGAGAACGCGGCCGAACCTGGTGCAAAACAGCTACCTCTACCGACCCGGCACGGCGTCTGGTCGCTCTAGCGAGCTCAGAGACATCCTTGCCTTTCCAAAGCCGAAATGCATTGTAAACGGCGAGACCAAGGCCCGTGGCTGTCTGCAACACGCCGGGTATCATTTACGCCTGCTGGATGGGGGATAAATCCCCAAACTCTTTCCATGCATCCAAGGTCATGAAAACCTACATGCCAGCCTGAGAGTTGTCAGCATGAAAAGAAACAACCTCCGGCATTCTGCCTTACCGATATTATGGCCATCAAACGATTAACACTCTGCGTGTGAGGTGCGTTGGCGAATTTCTACACCAGCTTCTAGACACCCTTGTGCGCCCAAACCCGACGTCCCTAACGTCACACCCTGTCGGATGGAGTCTCCCAGCGCCGCTGCCACGTCGTTGCTACCAGGGTCTGCCAAGTTGGTGAAATTGTTTGTTTAACTTCTGCAATTAGTTCCATGTTCACGATTTGCCCCGGAGCCTGGCCTTGGAGAAACTTGTTGGTCTCAAGAGGGTTCTCCTTCAGTTGCTTGTGAAGGACTTCCCCAGAGGAGTCTTGATCCTTGAGGATCATGTACACCCAGTCGCGGAAGGCATTGACAACACTTTCTTGCAAATCGGCGACGCCCGCGATGTAGGCACCGAGGTGGGCTTGACCTGCCTTAATCCATCTCTTGACAAGTTCTGCGTATCGGAGGTCCAATGGGATAGTCTCGGGCTTCTTGTCGGGATCTGCGATCGTCATAGGATACAAGCATTGCAAGACCGTGCAGTGACGCGTGAGTGGGTTATTGAGTGACTGAGGAGAGGTCTTGAGCTTCTGGCCTACGGATTCGACAAACTTTGGTTCGATGGCGTTGAAGTAGAATATTTTGGCCCATTCCTCGCCACCAGTGAGTCCACGTAGATCGCCAACTCTTGCCTTCAGGTCTGGATAGTTTGTTGAAGATAGAATCTTCGTCATCAAGCTCTGTAGCATCGTTGATGCGGTCCATGATTCTCGGACTCTGCCTTCTCAAAGCCAACGTAGCTGCAAGCCGATTCAATTGCTTGTGTTCTTCCTGATAGGCAAGGCATCTCTTGGACTTTCCTTTCCACCAGTACTCAATGCGAGCAACGTCATCATCCGTGAACTCGGCTTTTGCTTTCTTCCGTGTCTTTGTCCTGTCTGGACCAATTGAGTGCGAGGTAAGCGTTTGCATAGGTATTTCTCAGCCAGGTTTTCAGCTTTTCCGGTAGGTCACCTGCCAGCTCCTTGGGAATCTTTTCCGGACTGTTGACATCGTTTCCGACAGCGGGACGTTGCTTGTCAAAGAAATTGCTTCGATCGTCCGGATTCATGTGAAAAAGCATCGCCAAATGGAGCATGTCCTGAGAGTCCTTTTTGACTCTGTCGTCGTCGATGTCAAAAGTGGCCAGGTCATCCGGTGTCAGGGCGGTTGAATTGTCGAGATCCAGATCACCCAAAGTAAAGCCTTCAAGGGCGGCATGTGCCTGTCCCGGCAGTACCGCATTTGGCACCGCCGCTGCAGTCATACGGCGATGCGTGTTTGCGCCTTCGTTCCGACGTTCTCCACCGAGGCGATACCGGGTGCCAAAGGTTCCATCCATTTAAAGATCGTATGTGCGGATCACACCCTTGGTGATCTTGTCATTTTCGTAATCCAGCGGAAAGCATAATCCAGAGAAGATAAATGGAAGCTTCAACTGAGAATTCGCCTTTTGGAATGTCAAATCGCAATAAACCATTGTTTGATCATCAGAACCGGTGTATTGGTCCAATGCCATGAAGAGCAGGTCTGGGTTCTTCAACCTGATCGAACAAACATTGTTGTCCTTCTCGTTTTGATTGACCTCTGAGGCATAGTATTGTACATCCTCAATCTTATCGGCGTCATTTCCGGCGTTCGCCGTTCTTCGAGCGGCGAAAATTGCGTCCAGAGCCGGAACGTTGAAGGTAAATGAGTTTATTCCATCGGTACTGCCCACATTGGCGTAGGCGACGTCGAACAAGGCTTTTTGTTTTGTGAGCGGAGTTGAAGACGTATCGAACTTGCTGTCGTCATAGACCAATGTGTACATATCCATCGGCCTTGTTGTGACAGTAGGGCTCTTCTGAGGCCACTCGCCGCAGTCTGGGATGTCATCGACGGCGGATGTCTCGGCAGCTGGTTTTTCGCCAGCCCCATTTGCCATCATTGCCATTGCTACAGGCTATATATTCGCCATTCTTGCGCTTATATCCACTCTGGAGTAGGAAAGCTTCAGATCTTGCGTGGTGAAAGGTGAATCAGTCGGGGGGGCTGCAGGCTGTGTATTGGCTACTTCAGGGGAACTCGGTGCAACTGTGGCAGCTCGAAAATCCTCAATGTTCTCTAGCTTTGTCGTTTAGAGTGTACCGACTCCTTTGACCACCTCTTCAGGAGAACGCAATTCAACTGAGATGGCTCGGAAATCCTAACGCTTCTCTGTATCTTTCGGCTGCTTTTGCTGGGTGTGAATAATAAAACCAGACTCACAGAGCATTTTGTAGTCATCCCCAAAATTCACAACACCAAATTGCCAGTAGTTGCCTAGATTACGAAACCATGAGATGTTTGTGTGGGCCTATCTGAGCGTGCTCGTAGTAGGCCCCATCATTGAAAAGGACCCTATCGTAGACAGTGACCACAGGTAGATCTCTATCATCGGCCACTGTCGTTGTACTGAAGCGTCCGAATATTGGGACAAGTTCTTTAAGGTTGAGTAGTAGGGGAAGTCTAAGCTTGGCTGTTAACCTTCTCAACAGCCTCACAACAGATTTAATCGTAATTTCGGGATAGTTCAAATGAATCAGGTATCCGTTCGAGTGATAGCTTCGCAATCCCTCGCGCAGATACACTCCATATACTGAAGAGCACTCGACGATTGAAGAATTTATCACTTTGATTTCCACGTGATCGGAATCTCCCCCATCATTTGCTCGGAGAAGGTCATGACCTTCTTCCAGGGCGCCGACTTCGAGCCAAGGATTCTCCCGTATCGCGGCTTCTCGGCCAATAGCCCGAATGCCGGTAGTGGTAAAAAAGACATGACCCGGGGTGAACCATGAACTTTCGGAACTAAACCTGCAGATTTGCGTGCTTCCGTGGACTGGATTGCTGACAACTTCATCTGAGCATAACCCATATTGGCGAGGCTGTAGTCGTTAAACGACTTGATCCCCTTCGAGAAGGTCCTCGATAGATTTCTCTCTGTACTGCGTCAGAACCTTGGTGCCTGGAATGAAACAGTCAAAGATTTCGTTCTCCTCTCGTTTATTGTGAAGTTTTCCCATATCAAAGAGCTGGGTAGGTATAAGGTATATATTCCTCTATTATATACCTAGGTTATTATTACCCTCTAGTTACTATTTCTTAAACATTTAACGCCTAAAACCTCACCCTCTTTGCTCCCCCTGACTTATACTACTATCCCCTTGACCAAGACAAGTAAATGTATTACTAATAATCCTAACGACTTCCTACTCAACATTGGCTTCCCTTGCATATTAACCCAGCGACCATATTCAACTCAAGGGCAAGTACATGGAAGCAAAGAGCAAGGGTTAAAGTCAAGTTCTTTATTGTGTGTGCACCCAATCGTGTAGGCAAGTCGGTGTTAATGGTGGTGGTGGTGGTGGTAGTAACAAAATAAAGAAGAGCCAGCTAGTCGGCTGACAAAGAGATACCTAGGTAGGCAAGGGTGCCAATAGGCAGCTGTCAGTATCCAGTCTTAATAAAGTAATATGACTGCACTTTGACTCTACATAACGCCAGCTGCACGCCGTCACACTCACGGTCGCACAGACCCCAGAGTACTATCTAGTTCTAGTTTAGGGTAAGGAAATGAGGAGGCAATTGACCATGTAGTAGAGTTATAGTTGGCCGAATGATTCCAATCAATTGAATAGTATGGGTTGATTGACGCTGGATCAACCCAGCTGGGTCAAGAACGCGCTAGGACTTTTCCTACGCCGCACGCCACGCCATATGTACCGCGCCACGCCACACCCGCACCCGCACACCGCATCTGTCCTCGCGTGCATCTCTGCAATAAGAGCAGACTTGAGCTTTCATCTCAACTGCGCGGACCAGCCATCTTAACCCGCAGCACGTTGATGTACCTTGACTGGCGCCGACGCACACCATCCATGTCGCTCATCACAGCGGACGTTACCCAAGTGTTGAACTGGACTCGACCGCCCTGGCTGACACGGACAATGTGCAGGCTTGGTTGGCTACGACCACCCGCTAGTGAGTGGCATGCCCTCTCAGGGGGGCGTCAACCTGAGCCTCCCCGATGTGTACTCGCCATGTCCTATACTGACGTGGACAGGACCGATTCGGTAGACGCCGATAGCAGAATAGCCCGCCGTGACGTCTTGGACCTCATCAACCACTATACCTTCACGTCTTCCTGGCCATAGTCAGCCAGAACATGCCTACTCTTCCCACGCCGACGCTCACATGCGCCACACGATAGAGGCCCGATATGCCGTCTGAAAACCAGCCAAACGACCATACCTTCCCAGGTACAACGGGTTGCTTGCCCAACTCGAGCAGAATTTAACGAACCTGTCGTACTCCACAGACATGTCCACCGCCGTGCCACCCCATTCAAAGAAGCCTTAACAATGCGGCCCGGTACCCCCCTGGGACTTCATAACCTCGATGCTCTCCACCATTTGTCTTTGCAGCCAAGGCTGTTTCCCAGCACGTCTCAACCAGCACCAATGCAGACATACAGGCAAAAGAAGACAAGGAGCCCATGGACAAGGGGCAATAAGGCAGCAGGCATTGATCTTAGGTTAAAGGTCTGCCTTAAAGACTGTATGTTCGGTGCACTCGATCCAAGATGCTGTGATCAGCAGCTTATCGAGTGCGCCTGTTTTATTAATCTTGAATGGCCGGATTCGCTCCACTAGCAATGTCATTCAAGGTTAAAGCCATGGCTAAAACGTAGTCACTGCGCGGAAACTGAGCCGTGGAGATGATGAGTAATATGTGTGTAGAAGTTAATAGATTTCCCTTTCATGGGTCACTGGCCACAGGGTTTAGCACCCGCTCACCGTCAAATACCACATCCGCTATTGTTGAAGTATGTGCCCTATGCTGCACCATGAAAAGGTGGCTAGACCCCAGCTGGCTGTCCTTCTACGTCTTCACCTTAGGGAATAACGGGGCTATAGGTAAATCATTGTTAAATCAGTCATGTCCATAGCACACATAGCCCATCTCTTATAGGGGGGAAAACCTCTGTCCTATGGAAAAGACTTTGTTCAGTGTGCCTGTCTGTACCTAGTCTATTTCTGCAATCATCTGGCTTGTCCCAGATCGTGTCTGCCATCATTCTCCCCCAAGCAGGCATTTCTCCAATAGCGCAATTATCCTACGCGGCCAGCTCAGCCATGGGTTGCCGCCTGTGGGCGCGTTGGCTTCGGCCGAGCCCCTGTCCTCCAGGTTCAACAATTGTGTGTATGATGGATGCGGTTCAGAGGCGTAGATGGAGCTGTCGCCCGAAGAAGCATCATCGTGATACCGGAAGGCCGGTGGTGTGGGCGGCCTCTGGGTGTCTTGAAGGAGCTGTTGCATGTCCGGAAGGTCGAGTTCGTCGTGCCAAGAACGAGGCCGCAGCGGGGGCGATGCACCCAGAATGGTGGGTTGGAACAAGATGTCGTGGATCGTGGTCGACTGCTAGTCCGACATTGATTGGAAATCTCCGTTTGCTAAGACTTCACACCATCAGGCAAGGCGAGAACAGCTAAGAAACGGGGAAATCAACGCCCCCCCCCCCCCCCCTGGGGCAGGCTTCGCCAGCTTACTTACACCTGCTTTGAAGTCGACCCAGCTCAACCAGGGTTTCCGCACCTCGGGCGTGTTGATTTGTTCTGCGGGCGTGCAGCCGATCGAGAAAGACGGACCGGTAGGGCGAAAACATGGTCTTTTCTGCTGGCGGCGCAGGAACAGTAGGGAGGTGTCTGTCCAAGGGACGATGGCAACCGGCGGATCGGGGCCAAGATGGTAGAGATGGGATAGGATGCTTTTTAGTCCCTAGTTGTGAAAACAGGTGTCAGCAAACACGTTGATCAACGCGTCTATGGCTGATAGTACCTGGCAATTCCGAGTCTGCAAGGCACCGTTGATGGGAGCTAACAGGCCTCGGCATGTTATGAAAGACTTGAAGCTCATGTCACAACGGCGGTGGGGAGGTTTAGCGTACGGTGTACCTACCCAGTGTACCCTCCTTGCCAGCTTTATAGGCTCACCACGTGCAATGTTCCCGCCGGTTTCGCGCCAGGCAGACAAACCACACCGGGATACCAGGTACCTCGGATCAGGTAGACGGACAGGCAGCACAGACTGACCTACATTAGCCAGGAGGGACCTGCCTCAGAGGTGGCGGGTAATGTACCTGCAGAAACATAGTATTTTCCCTGTGCCGTGTGTAGTACCTAAATGGAAAATACAAGTACTGTATAATGTGGCGGCGCCTGCCACAGCAGCACAGCCATATGTACCACGGCCACCACAGCCACCGCAGCCGTGCTTATGTATGTCTCTCTCTCTCCTTGGTGGGGTGAGTCTCGTGAGGAGAGCTTGAGTTGGCCGAGTTTTGTCGGAACGTGACAGCTCTCTTGGGTTCAACGCTGTTTTATCCGACATCACCAGATCCCGTCTCTGTCTGCGCGCCTGGGCAGTACTGTAAGCTCTGCTATGCTCTCTCTCTCACACCTTTTACTATCAACATTAGAGTTTTAAGGCCGATTAATACATTCAACAGACTAACTCTAAAAGCCCTTATTATAAAGCATGAGTACATAGACATACACTCTCTAGTAATGAGTTAAAAAGCGCAAAGCCCTACGCGTAAGAGTGCATTAGATTAAAATAGGAGTTAAGACAGGTACATCTGATGTCGCATTAGAAATCCATAGCGCCATCACGGCAGCTTCTTAGGGGCATTCATCTTCAGGCACTCATCAAACCAAGTTCGATTAACAGCTCGCAACTCTTCGTCTAGAGGCCCAGAGGCTTCTTCAACCGCCTTTTAGAGCTTTAATATAAGCTCAGCCATCTTGTACCCAGTGCTGTTTCTCAATCTTCCTAACCACGTCTTTCAACCTTCAAGTAGCCGTTTACACGTCTCCAAACTTCTACTTAGCTCTTAAACAAAACTTGAGATGTCTACATCTCCCAGTGAAAGGCAGGCCATTAAGTCCACTTCATAAGTCCGCCGCCAGTGTTTAATGTACTTTAGAATAGCCATTTTGTTATCTTCCCTTTCCTTCTTGCCGTCGTTAGTATTTGCGACACGGCCGCCCAGGACCATCTCTCATCGGCAAAGGTACAGTCGTGTCTCTAGTAGAAGCCGCGCAAACGTAGCGTCCATCCTCAAAAGCCTGCAAGTAGAGAGGGAACAAGTGCCGTCCGTGTCTCGCATGCGCTTGGTCGAAACCGCAGCTGCGCATGTGGCCGTCTTTGCGGCTATTCAGCAAGACTTGCTAAGGCCAGGCTCTCGCTAGAGAACAGAGAATTCGCGATTCAATGCAAAACTTGCCATAAATCTCTCTTAAGGGTTTAGAAAATTAAAAAAAAAGTTTAGATCTAGGGGCGCTGGGCTCACCAAGGGATATTCAGCTAGCAAAGGTTAGCCAGGAGCCTACTGCGTTCCAACTTGCCTTCTATTAATCTAGGTAAGCTGTCACCTTTCAGGAATATTTGGATAAATAATGCCACAAACGTGCCATAACTGACACCATCTTGCTACTACAGGCAGACCTATACACCCAGGACAGTAAGAGCAACAGTTGGTAAGGGAGTCGGAGTAATAACTGACCTGTAAATAAACCTGTATGTTTCTCCCAGGGCATACCACGCGAAGCCATGATCTGACAACGTTGGTGGAAATGCTTCTCCAGTTCTACGGTTTCCCAGAAAGGAGGCTGTCACCGTGGCCGCGTATCTATGGCTGTGAGCGTTCTATACCACGATAAACAGTCTAGACCAGTTCACCCGGTACATGATAATCATGATACGTATAACCCGATATACGGCACCTCTGGCCTGTACCACATCTCAATCTTGAAAAACGGTAGAAATACCCGATGATAACGTAGAGCAACCGCCGTATCAGCCTTTAAACAAGGTGCGAATGACCTCAAAGACACCGTGTTAGCCGTACGTCAGCGTCGGCAGCCACAGCCCGGCGATAATGGTACTAGTAGTTGGACCCAACATCAAGGTCGTGACAGCTTCAGAGTCACTGCCAGCCATACGATGACTCCCTTCAATTCAACCCGTGGCCGTCTATATGGTCGGGCGATGAGTAAAACGCCACGGGCGCGGAAGCGGAGATCTTAGAAGGCTCATACCCACGGAGGAAAAGCTTGGGATCACTGGCCAAAGGCTTGCTCAAACGGCGGCCTACCTTAACGTCAAGGTTCCTGGAGACGCAGGGAACGTCAGACTTGGTGCCAGTAGGCACAGATACTGCGTCAATACAGGAATCATTAGGAGCTAACATTGTCTTTTTGACTGTTGCAATGGCTCTTTTGACCACGGTTCTAGTGAGCTTGGGCGGCTCTGTCTCCTCGACAGTATTGCGCAAGGGTACTCCTGGCTCTCATAAAGACGCCAGTGGTGTACCCAAGATGATTACAAGTTTAGTCACATCCTTAATTAATTAATAACTATTTCTTCCTTTTGCGCCTTACTTAATGGGTCCTTGGCAATAACTGTACCTAAGAGTCAGATCACCACCATTCACTCCCGCAGCCATCACTTTCCAGCCACATAAAGTATTGGGCAAAAGTTTTACGACATCCTTTACATAGCTCTTAATCTATTCTATTATATAGAATAGTAAAATAAGGGTTTGACCAGAACCAGAGATTAATGTATGGATTTACACTGTAGATGGTCTAGATGTTGTCCTATAGTATCAGGCCAAAGTTGAACCTCCTCGTCGGATAGATATGGTTATACTTCTTTATTTTTATATATTTCTAACACAACTTCAGGCATAGGATTCCTTGCGTATATAGCTTATAACTCTATAATACTTGTTAGGGAATTTTATTTACCTATCGCACTATAGCACGCGCTGAATGCTGTAACCCTATAGATAAGTCTAATATACCGCTGTTACTCCTAGAGAAGACAGGTTCACAAATAGGTCTAGATTTCCAAGTCCGCCCTACTAATTCCGTTACTGGCTAGCATCAACGGCGCAGTTAGGGTCACCGTTCATAATATTAGTAACAACAACTACTATATCACTAATACTGTATGAGAAGGGCAGAAAAGAAGGGCTGAACGGATAGTAGCAGTAGCACCTTGCTGAGCCTAGAAGCTAACAAACGCAGCGGTGAAGAAGAAGAAGACTATGACTAGAAAGACAGCGAGCGGAAGAAGAAGTACTAGAATAGACTACCACACTGGAGAGGTTGCAAACCAGCCACCAGACGAATGTCTATTGCTGCCGATGAGGCCCTGCCGGTGTGCAAGCAAGCGGAAGAAAGCCAGGGCGGTAGAAGCGGCAGCTAGCTGTGGGCAAGAAAAGGTCCAGCGCACCGCAAGCCACAGGCTAAGCAGCAGACCAGCGGCAAGAAGAGCAGCAGACTCACAGTCTAAGGAAACATGGCAGAGCATGCGACAGGGGATAACAAGAAAGCCTTCTTGTTAATGCATCAAGACCGGCACCGAGGGCCAGTACTAGGCTAGCCTGGGCAAGCTGGACGTCTCAGGCTGTGTTTATTTGGACAGATACGGGAATGGCGCTATGCCATGGCGGCCTTTTTTAGATTTGAAGGAGGAGATTTTGTTGAGGGTGGCAAGCTCGTTTGTTGACTTTGAGTTGTGGACGCTGGCCAGCAGCAAATAGGTAACGCAACGGCGATAGGCCTAGTTTAGTAGATCGGTAAGCGGAGGTATTAGACGACCCGTGAAAGAGGTGACGAATAAAGGATTAAGACTTATGATATCTGCTTAAAGATGGCTACGCGAATGGTCGCCAGTGGACGCTAGGCCACGTTCATGGTAACATTTGTTATATTTCATATTATCATGTTACTGCGATGCATGGCATGATTCCGCACTTATAGGCAGAGTATCTTGCCTACAAGCATGATTATATAGGTAGGCAACCTAAGTAATTAGTATATCTTGTGTGATATGGCATACGGAAAGACTGATACCAAGTGCTTGTAGTGCATGAAGCCACTGTGACATATGGCGACGTCTGACACACCCCACGTTGGGCCCGGAGGTGGAGATGAACTAGGCGAGATGAAATTGTCTAGGACGTGATTCTGATAAGAGGTTTTCCAGACTTGAGCCCTTCTACCGTATCCTCTCATCAAACACGAAGTCCGCACAGGCCACAGGCTGCTGGAAAGGGGTAAGCGGGCTGGCAGAAACAGGGATCTAGATGTGGCAAATGCAGGAATTCATTTACGTCAGCAGCAGGTAGGTGGCAAGGGTTAGGGTTATATGGGTGGGTGTGTGTGTAGGTAGGTTGACCGCCTGTTATAATGGGACTAGCGTATGGCCTGTGCGGACTTCGTGTTTGATGAGAGGATACGGTATGTCTACATGGTAGATGGTTCGTTGGTTGGTTGCCTGTTCTGGCATTGACGTTGGTTCTAATTGGGCCACGGCTGAGATTTGGAGTCTGTCTTGTGTGGGAGCGGGGTGCAAACTTAACGTGAAGATAGGGGCATCCTAGTTAGTTGACGCAAGGACAAAGATTGGGTAAAATTAACTCAAATACCCCGCTTTTGCACCACCCCCGCTTTTGCACCACCTAGAAATCCCGCATTTCTCCTCCTTCATCAACACCACTACCTTTTTTAAACTATTATAACAATTATTATATATAACTAAACAACACTATTCTTTCAAGATATATTATTTATTATATTATAAAGTTATATACTAAAGAAGAGCTTTAATAGGCACTTTAGGAAATAGATTCTACTTGTTTTATCTACTAGGTAGCTTATAGATAAAGAATACTATACTATACTCTTTAATATTAGCTTTATAGTACTCTATTTAAGAATACTATCTATACCTATATATAGTAACTATCTTAAGCCTAGGAGGATTATCTAGCTATATAGGTGTAAATCTAGAATTCCTTATATAATAGACCTACTTATTAAT